ATCTGTTCGATGCCAATGAGGCCGAGAGCTGGATGAGCGAGCAGGAGCTCTGCATGAGGGTGGAAGATCGGGGCAAAGATGAGACCAGCGCCAGGCACTTCATGAAGAAGCACGAAAGTCTGGAAGCGGCCGTTGAAGCTTGAAGCGGACACCATCAGAGGACTGGGTGAAACTGTAAAGGCCCTGTCGGATGAAGGGTATCCTTTGGCCGAGCAGGTCGCTGTTAAACAGTCGCAACTGGACAAGCTGTATGCCGGACTGAAGGATTTGGCGCAAGAACAACTCGCTAAGCTGGATGAGGCTTTGCAGCTCCTCCTGCTCAACAGAGTCGTTGGCGACTTGGAGCAGTGGATAGCTGATCGAGTGGTGGCCTCTTCTCACGAATTGGGCCGAGATGCTGGTTCTGTTTCAACGCTGCAGCGCAATATTCAGAACTTCATGCAAGACCTGCAGACGCTTCAGAACCAACTGCAACCGATCCAAGAGGAATCGGTCAAGCTTCAAGCCAGCTATGCGGGCGACAGAGCGAAAGATATCACAAATAGAGAACAAGAAGTAGTGTCTGCGTGGGCCAGTTTGCAAATGGTTTGCGAGCAGCGCAGAGGAAAACTGGCCGATGCTGGCGATCTGTTCAAGTTCTTCAACCTGTGAGGACGCTGATGCAACGGATGGACAACGTGGACAGTATTAATCGGACTTCCGATCTGGTACCTACAATAAACTACCTGTAATATGGATATTCGTCGTCATTCACAAAGCTGTAAGGCCATTTGGCTTGTTCAGCCGCCACTTGATTTTCCACAGCGGAAACGATGCTTCCATCGTTTCCAGTAGGGAAGTAGAGCAAGAAAGGCCCATAGATGTGAGTCCAGCCCGGCTCAGCAGTGACTTCGGGCGTTCCAAAGTGACCACTCACGAAGTAGTTGGCCACCAAACATTCCTGATGGACAGTCAAGTCTTGCTTCAATGGTCCACCACCTGATGTAGGATTTGCAAGGCTTGAGGGAATCGCGCTTTTCGCGGAAGCTTACCATGGTATTCCCTGCTGGGTGAGACCACGAAGGCTCCAAACCCATTACCATAAACCCCCTGGTAGTTAATCTGCCTGATGTACGCTGCGTAGTCGTACTTGCTGTAATAAGTGCCGTTGGGATATTCCCAGGTGGAGTCCTGGACGGTAGTGCATTGGTTCAAGTCTACAGTAGTGGGGGTAGTACCAGAGCGCACCTGGTTGGTGCCTTGGGTGAGGATGGCGGCATTGAATCTGTAGACCTGCCAATAAATTGGTATATTTTCTGCATTTTTATGGTTGTAGGCGCACCATTCGAGTCTCTCCCAAGGAGACCGTGTAGCTTTTGTCGTTGATGTATTTGGCGTAACTGTAAATTCCACTAATATCGTCCTCCATGACATAGTGGAGCTGGATTGAGAACACATTGTCGATGTTTTCCTGCAGCCAATAGAAGTGCACCCTGCTGCTGGTCTGCTCCACTATGTGGATGCTGGATGGGCTGAACACGCCTTGGCCATCTGCAATCAAAATGTGAATCAGACGGTCATCGATGCTACAAGTGAAAATTGTTTAACAAAAAAAATCACCTTTGCTCCCGATAAGGAAGTGCTACAATTTACCTAAGTGCCACTTCATATACACCTATATCGATTACTTAAGAACCCAAGCATTTCAAGTAGGTACCTACTACTTAGAATGATAAGGGGGACATAATTAGACCAAAGTTTATTGTCGCAAATGGACCCAAATTATAATTAAATAATGGAAAAAATTTAAAAAAAAAAGAAAAAATGGTAACTTACTACTGTTCCAGTCCAAGTAGAAGGTTTTGACTCCACTTGCTGCCAAGTTAGTCCCCTGAACATTCACAGTCGAGATGGTGGCCTGACTGTTGAAATTCAGCTCCAAATAGTCGTTCTTGATGGTGGCTTTAAGGCCGTCGACAGTTAGGCTGACCGCTCCATTTACTGGGCTCAGACCGCTCAGAGCAACCGCTCCTAAAAGGAACAAAACTTGACCCGCCAACATGTTGAGGGGGACTAGTGGAGCCCAGAGAATTTCCTGCCTATTTATACACAATGGAAGAATCTTGAGTATTTTATTATCAAATTTTGGCAGTAGTGAGGTCTTGTTTAAGCTCAAGTGGTTGGTTAATATAGGGATCATAAACGCGTTTAGTGAACATCTGGGGCAAAGCGGTATCAGATATATCAGGGTTTTCAGTGGATAACTGAGGTGACAATCACGTGAGGTCCAGGAAAAGGTCCATTTTTTGAAAAAATAAAAATTTTCTCAAAATGTCTTAAATTTTACATCATTTTCGGCTCACGGACACGAGCAATGCATGGAACTTATTGAAAAATATGCGAGAAATTTCAAATCCAAAATAATAGACAATTTCGGCAAATTTTAAGCGTTTTTTGAGCGTTGGCGATCTTTAGCCGACAATTTCTTCTTTCTCCCTAACCCAAACACTTTATAAATGCATATTTGCGACGTTCTTGCGTCGAAAGGAATCGATTGAGCTCAAAAAACACGCATGTGAAATTTTGATTCTTGCTCGAAATTTTTCCAAGCATGGGGGTCGATTTTTTGAAAAAATTAAACATTTTTAAAAATGCCTTAGATTTTACATCATTTTCAGCTCACGAGCGCGAGAAGTGGATCGAACTCATTGAAAAACATGGTAGACGTTTCTGATCCGAAATAATAGACATTTTCGGCACATTTTAAGCGTTTTTTAGCGTTCACGATCCTTTTATCCTACGATTTCTTCCGAATTATTGGCCCAAAGACTTTATAAATGCATATTTCTGACTTTCTTACGTCGAAAGGAATCGATTGAGCTCAAAAAACACGCACGTAAAATTTTGATTTTGGCTCGAAATTTTTCCAAAAGTAGGGGTCGATTTTAAAAAAAAATGAAAATTTTCTCAAAACACCTTAAATTTTACATCATTTTCAGCTCACGGACGCAAGGAATGCAACGAACTTATTGAAAAACATGGTAGAAGTTTCAAATCCGAAATAATAGACATTTTCGGCACCTTTCAAGCGTTTTTTGAGCTTTCACGATCTTTTGCCGACGATTTCTTCCGTATTATTGACCCAAAGACTTTATAAATGCATATTTCTGACTTTCTTACGTCGAAAGGAATCGATTGAGCTCAAAAAACACGCACGTAAAATTTTGATTTTTGCTCGAAATGTTTCCAAGGGTGGGGGTCGATTTTTTCAAAAAATGAAAATTTTCTCAAAATACCTTAAATTTTACATCATTTTCAGCTCACGGACGCAAGGAATGCAACGAACTTATCGAAAAACATGGTAGAAGTTGCAAATGCGAAATAATAGACATTTTCGGCACCTTTTAAGCGTTTTTTGAGTGTTCACGATTTTTTGCCTACGATTTCTTCCGTATTATTGACCCCAAGACTTTATAAATGCATATTTCTGACTTTCTTACGTCGAAAGGAATCGATTGAGCTCAAAAAACACGCACGTAAAATTTTGATTCTTGCTCGAAATTTTTCCAAGGGTGGGGGTCGATTTTTTGAAAAATTAAAATTTTCTCAAAATACCTTAAATTTTACATCATTTTCAGCTCACGGACGCGAGGATTGCTTATTGAAAAACATTTATCCGACGATTTCTTCCGTTTTATTGACACAAAGACTATAAATGCATATTTCTGACTTTCTTACGTCGAAAGGAATCGATTGAGCTCAAAAAACACGCACGTAAAATTTTTATTGTTGGTCGACATTTTTCCAAGAATGGGTGTCCATTTTTTTTTTAAATGAAAATTTTTTCAAAATATCTTAAATTTTACATCATTTTCAGCTCACGAGCGCGAGAAATGGATCGAACTCATTGAAAAACATGCTAAACGTTTCAGATCCGAAATAATAGACATTTTCGGCACATTTTAAGCGTTTTTAGCGTTCACGATCTTTATCCGACGATTTCTTCCGTATTATTGACATAAACAACTTTAAACATTATGCGGCTAAAATAGAGCGAATTCAACGCAATAAAACAATGTAAATGTTCCAAAAACCAGATCATTTACTAAAACAGTAGTAAACACACAGTAAAATATAGTTTTAAGAAATAACACACCGGCAAAAAATGCCGCATAAATAGAATGTGCAAAATTCTTCTGATTGTGGCCTAGATATAGATGCGAAATGAAACCGACGCGAAAAATAATCCCACTATTTGAATTTTCGAAATATTTTACAATAATATTGCAAAACTTTAAATGAGCTATTTCGCTATTCTCAGAAGTTTGAATCCCTTACATTTTTTGAATCACTTACTTTTGTCTTACTCTCGATTTTCATTACTCAAATTTTTACGACTATGTTGTGAACACTTTGCCAAAAAATCCGATCAATTTCCAAGTCTTGTTTTCACTTACGGACTATTTTCTGTATCAACGAGGATCGGAAATGTTTACCAAACTTTGGCAAGTTTTCCATCATCCGTCTTTGCCTGGATTTTCATGAAACTTTGCAGTTTGATAGACTAACATGTTGTAAAACCTTATGACTAACAAATTATTTTGCATACGCTGGCCAAAATCTCTTAAGTATGCGAACTTTGGCAGTGTCCCGGAAAGCTTCTAACTTAATTTTTGTAAAACTGCATATTTCATGGATTGGCCCGAAAAAAATCTACCCAAACAAGCTCCGACTCCACTATAACATTAAGATATGGTCTTGCAAAATGATTAATCAGATTGTTAAAGAATCTTGCCCATTTTGCGTATTTATGACCAAAGCTACGAAGTGTGTTTCTAAACAATAATGTATGGAAAAACCATCATGTATTGTGTATATTCTCTGAACTCGTCGACCAGAACAAACCCCCAAGCGATACAAACACAACATGAGGCCGTTCAATACAAACACCCTTATTCTTAAGCAAAACAAACTGAGTTTCTATGATTACACAAGAATTAGCGTGACTTAAAGTGAACAATTTGACTCAGTCATGAGCGACAGTGTTTGATATGCGGAAACCGAAGACCAATCGCAAATTTAAGGAATGTGCAAGCAAATAAACCGGGAAATGTACCAAACAAATCAGGGAAATAATGAGCAAGTTTCCAACTTTTACCTACTGTTGGGATTAAGTCATTGATGTTTCCTCATTCTTTTTTCTAGCCAATTTCGGTCAATCGTTGATAATTACGAGGCACTTGTGAAAGAGCTGAATCAGGAATTATTTGAGTTAAAGGTAAGGCTTTTTGGTCCCAGTAAAGCTCAATTACAGAGCAAGATTCCAGACTGACCACCAGGATGTGAAAGCGCAGCTTTTAGCAGTAATAGCTGAAAACCAAGACCTCTCTAGACAATGCGAAAATGTGATTCGAAGCTCAAAATGCCACCTGCAAGAAAACGAGGACCACGACTTAACAGAAAATCTCAAACAGCAAATAAATACTCTAAACACCGAAAAGGAGTGCGTAACGAAACTGTGGCAGGAAGCCGTAAAAGCCATTGACGCTTTGGAAGACGAACTGAAGATCTTCCAGGCTGGCCATGAAAATTTCGTGCCAAAAAAGGAGCTTCAAAAGGTTCGGACGATAAAACCCTGTTTAGTGAATCAGAAAAAGCCTAAACCCACAAAGATTCCAGTAAATGGAGATTGTTGAAAACGTTGCAATTCCAGCTCAAGACGTTTAATGAAACCCAAGTCGCCGAATTGCAAACGAAATTAGCGGAAACCGAAAAAAAGTTGGAAGAAACAATGCAACAAACTAAAAACAAGATCAGAGTGAAGCATTGCGAAGTGGACCAGTCGCTAGACAATCAAGCAAGTGCACTGAAAATCATCAAAAACCTGGAAGCAGAAGTTCTAAGCGTGCAAAAACGTCTCCAAGAAGCTGCGGGAGAGAAACTCAAATTGGAAAGGCATTTGTCTAATAAGGAAGAAGTGATTCAAGGTAGAACGGAGTGTTTCTTATTAGCTCAAAAACCCAAAATTTTGCACTTTTAGGTTTGAAAACGGCAAATCAAGAGTGCCTCAATCGGGTCTCAGAAGCGATCGCGATTGTGGAAGCTGCCCTCAACGAAAAAGACGCAGCTCTATTCAGGGAGAGTAGAATTCAAGGTGGAGGGCTACTGAACACTTGAAAGAGCTTAACATAGAGATAACTGTTCACTTTTTTACTTTAGAAGAAAATGAAAAATTGGTAAAAGAAACCACCGAAATCGTCCAGGAATCACAGGAAAAAATACAAAGGGAAACTGACCGGATAAAGTTGGAATTTGGCCAGAAGCAAAAATCTCTTCTAGACAAACTTGAGCAGGCACAGAAGGAAAGCCGCAATCAAAGCGCTGAAATTGAGGCACTAAATAAAAAACGCATTTTGTTGGAAAGTGAACTTGAAAGAATACATCGAGGCCATTGCTCTAATGAGGAAAGCGACATAAACAAATTACTGGTTTTGGAAAAAAACCTTGAATCCACGTTTCAAAAACTGGTGAGTGATTAATTCAGTTACGTATTGAAAACCCTTTTATGTGTTACAATTTAATAATTAATAAGTAATTTTTGTTACAGCTACTGTCTGAAAAGCAAAACATCCAGCTGGCATCAGAGAAGGAGGTGATGAGAAACGACCTCGACCAAATGGCGAACATTTACGAAAGAAACCTGAAAAGCAAAGAAATCGAAATCTCCACTTGGCAGTCTAAAGCAACTCGGTTGGAAGGTGAACTAACAGATAGCTATAAGCAAGTGAACAAAATTACCGAAAAAATGGCCAAAGTAAATGAACGAATCACCAGAACTGAACAAGATTTCAAGGAACAAAAGGATATCTTTGAAAAGTAACAGCTTAAAACATTCGGCTACAAGCCTGATAATAAACATCTAATTTCAGGGGTTTAAATAGGTCACTTGAAGCTAAGCTTGAAAATTTAACAAAAAAATACAATGATAACATTATGGAACTGCAGCGCCAAGTGGAGAAGAAAAACGAAATAAATGAGAAGTGGAGGACAGAGTCGAAAATCATAACGGAAAACTTGGAAAAAATGGCCGCTCATTTAAAACGTGAGGCGCAAGCTCTGAAGAAAAGCAACAAGCAGCTAAAGCAGGACCTGAAAAAATCCGAAGAAAAAGTAAAACACTACAAAACGTTTCTGGACTTGATTTCGAAAGACGTCGCAAAAATTAGTCATTTAACTGTGGGCAATTCGAGCAGTTGAGAAAAAATGCAAAGTTAAAACAATTTAGAATGCAATTAATGCTCAACCAATACATACCGAAATGTTATAATATATGTATAAATATTTAATAAAATTATGAGTTAGTGGCATTGACGCACTCATTGAATAAGCTGGGAAAATAATAAAGTTTTTCGCCGGTTTCCTGTAAGTCGACCCAAGCCAATCCTTGGTCGACCTGAAAAGACTCAAATTAGTTTAAAAAGCCCTATCAATCACCTACGTATTTACCAAACTATCTAACGCTTTTTGGCTTCGCGCTGGCTCCCACAAGAGCTTCTTCCTTAGGTAAGACACGGACACATAAGCCCTGTTGCTTGCTGCAGCTTCTGTCAATATGACCGAATGATCCGTGCTTAATTCACCAGGAACTGACTGCACCATGTACTGGAACCAATGTGAGGTAGATATTAGTTTCTAAGAAACAAATTTCACTCCCTTACTCGTCCTTGCCCGTAAGAGATAACATTAAATCCACTGCCAAAGATTTTCAACTTTCGGGCAGCCATACGTAAGTCATCCTCTGAAATCTCTTGATGCTCCTTTCTCTTTCCCCTGGCATTGATGAGCCTGGTCCTCAGTTCCTCTAAGCTTATCAGACCTCCGTTCTTGTGATTTGTGGCTTTAAAGACAATTAAATCAACCACTCTGGCCAGTTTAAGGGCTGTGATGTTTACCTAGACAGACTTCCACAATTTGGACTGCTAATTCATAGTAAAAATCGCCCAGTCCTAGAACAGACCAAAATCCTTTTCCTGATGATAGCGGATCAACGCCCAAGCTGGCACACATTTCCTAGAAGTTGAATTTTCGAAAAAACCCTTTGGAGTAATGGAGTTGTCAACTGACCTGGAATTGGGTTCTAAACTCTGGATTTTTCTTGATTTCATTCTTATGCTTGCTGGCAAATTCCTCCAAGTTCGTCTTGAAAAACTCGAGCTGTTTGGTCAACTGCTCGAATTGATTTTCTTGAATTTCATTGCGTTTGTACTTGTATTTTTCTTGTTCTAGTTTTTGCTTTTGAATGGCTCCCAGGCCAGCACTACGCCTCATTTTCACAAATTGACTTATTTATTCAACACCCGATACTTGGAAGAAACTGAAATGTTTTCGCAATTACTTTATTTTTTATTTAATTATAATTAATAACATTGGACAATGCGAAAGTCAACAAATAAGTGAGGTTTGTAGTTTTCGAACGTAGGAAAGCACAGAGTATATTACTAAAAGTGACGAAAGGTGTCACTACTGTCACTCGCAGTTGCCGAACAACATTTTTGGCCAATTAATTTTTTTAAATTTAATTAATTATTGTAATTGATTTGCATTTGATCTATACTATCTTATATAGAGATTCTGTAGATGTACAGGCGTTGTAAGATGATTATTTATTCATTGCATTGTTCATTTATTCCAGTAATGATCAGACATTAATTGTGATGATAGATTATCATGCTCTTCCCATGGTAAAGAGGGAGATAGTCGGAGATTTGACCGTAACAGAATCAGAGACAAATCCTGAACGGAATGACCTTTACATTCACTTTTTGTCAACGTTGCCAATAGGCGCGGAACTTCGCCAATCTTCCATAATCTTTTAAAAATACTGACAAATTAAAGTGATTTTGAACCTTGTTTTAATCCGAAAACTGCTACATCTGCCGGGTTCTCGCCAGCGGATTTTTCGACTAGTTCTTTACAGCTTTCTCCGAAATTTACTTGAAAATTCTCCGAAAAAAGCTAAAAGCCTGAAAATTGTTTTGCAAAAAATTTCAATTTTGCCAAGTTAATCTAGCAAACCTTTGTTTAAGCAGACGTCAATTAGTGTCATTTACTCGATTAGCTTTTGTTTAATGGCGGCTAAGTTAGACTGAGTTTCTGTCGCTCCGTCTGAATTTCATCAATATACAAAGTTTATTCACTTTTTTGCTGACATTTTCGCATTTCCTGTCTAAGAAATATATATTTTAGTGTTTTTTGATGGCTTCCTGAGCAGTAGCATGATTTTTATATCAAAAAGTGCAATTTAACTAGAGAGAACTATCTGACGTTTCCTGTCAAGACGGAACCTGGATTTGTAAGCATACAACAGAGCTAGAATTTCTCTGCATAGAAGCCAGAAGTTTGGAAGTAGGTAGTTATGTGGATTTTGAAGAGCTTTTGGAGATTTCTTCAATATTTTTCGGACTGTCAGGGATGTCAACATATTTGAAATGGACAATTACACGCAGAAACAGGAATATTAACGGTAGGTGCATTTTTTTATCACGGCTTAAAGCCCGTGTCCCATGCATCCGTTTATACGATGGTACGATGGTACGAAAGTGTTTCTATTGGTTGGAGATCTGTCAATTCTCCAGTCTCCAACCAATAGAAACACTTTCGTGTCATCGTACCATCGTATAAATGGATGCATGGGACACAAGCTTTATACGTTGGCATAAAATATTAACATTAATAATAAAAAAAGCGGTTTTTCGAAATAAAACCGATATAGACAACGCTGCTTTTGGGAGAAAGGCACTGAAAGAACAGTGTCAAAACAGTCAACAGCAGTCAACAGTTAGCGGGTTTCCGTTGCCGAAGGTTCGTGTTGCTGGTAAACTCAGAAGCCGAAATTATCAGACTGAAAGATAAAATTATTTACAAAATTAACCGACGGGTTTTTCAACAAAGCGAAACGACACTGATTTATTCGTAGCATTATCGGCAATTAAATCGAATTATCTGAACGATTTCGGGTCAGTTCTAAAGCTTGCATTGTGTGTTTACTACGCAGGGATTCCTTCTCCGGTGATGATAAACAACATATTGGATCAAACGAAAGGTTCGTAACGGACAAGTAAATGTATTTTAACAATTTGCTCACCTCATTTAAGCGACAACAACCAAACACTCAGTACCTACATGTTTCCTTGACCTTTTCGTTTAGTACGGCTTCAGAAAGTACCCGAGCAAAGTTTATTGACTTTATTTATCATTGCCTTAAAATACCTGTTCTCGAAGTGACTCTTAATTTATTTAAGGCATTGTGAGAATTAAATGCTAATTCGAAAGGTAATTAAGTAGTGCAACATTAACCAGCTCAGGGGTTTGGGACGTTCTATCGTGATTGTGGCTTGGTTGTTTCTGATCTTAATTTAATCAAATGATTTGTATCTGTTATTTGCCAAATATCTGCACATGTTTTTTTGGGCCAGCATTAAAGAAGTGTCCGTTAGAGAATAGGTATTTCCAAGCAACTTTTCTGATTACTGTCCTACTCTCTCTATTTTAGTGCTTTAAATTATCAATCTTATTTGCACTATTCACAGAAACACACTTTACGTTTCATTACCTGAAGGAATCTTGAAGTCAAACTCCATGGTTTTCGTTAAATTAGGTTTGAGCAAAATTCTCAAATTTTCCATTTCAAATTGTGATTCAATTTTTAATTGGAAAGAAGAAAAAACTGGATTTGGGATATTTACTTCAAATTTAGAATCTCTTTTAACTGCCCAATCCTAAAAACGTTTTATACAGTTATCAATACAGATAATCAATTGATTAATTGGTCATCTGAGAAACAAAATGCACAAAACTTTTATAATCTAACTAGGTATAAAGTGATTTGAAACAATCCCAAACTGTCTTCTTTGCCAGGAAATTAAAAAAAACCTTTTTTGTTGTTGTTTTTTCATCATGCAACCTTTCCTCCCCATTCTTTGCGATCAACAACAATTTGCTGGAAACTCCATTTAATCTACATTATCTAGGCGCACAGTTTATTGACTTTATTTATCATTGCCTTCGAATACTTGTTCTTCGAAGTCGGTTCTACTTTATCTTTATCTTTAACTGAATGCTGAAATTTGAAAAGTAATCAAACTAGTTAATAACGCATTAGGGTGATTGGTGGCAACGATCGGAAAATGACTCAATGATATTTAGCGGTTTGCTGGCGGAAGAAAAATGAATCAGAATCAAACGATTGGGCTAACAAACGTATCAGAAAGTGGATATTTTGGCAACCCGTTTTGCAAACAGAGCAGAGAGTTCAGTGGACCAAATTCAGATCTGATTAAATATCATGAATAATTTTGGCACCTCCAGAATGCATGTTCGCGGTTTTCGTTTCTAGGTCACTTTAGATTATCATACTGACCAACTTTTTCAAGTTAGGATTCTATAAATATTATAAGAAGGAAGAAAAATACTTTCTAGATTTTTCAAGTTCCTTCTTCTAATAAATGGCGCCTCGACCCTGCGATCGGTTTCATTGCAATTGATTTATCACCCAACCCTCGTATAGTATTCGGGTGGGACAAGGACGGGATGCTTTCCATAGTGTTCGTTTTTTACGCCCGCTCTTTCACACAGTGGCGAAAACTGCCGAACAAACTCGATTGGGCTTGACTGAGCCAATTGCGTTACCAGGAACTATCAAAAACTACATCGTGCATCATAAAATTTTCCATCAAATAGAATCAACAAGTTAATTTAGCGCGTTTTGAGCGCTCACCGGCGATATGTTTTTTATAACAAAAGGTCGGAAGGTCAAGAAGATAATTTTTGGTCGAAAAATCACTGTAGAAATACAACGTAAACATAGTAAATTGAAATCGTCTGGTCCTTCTGGATGCTGCGTTGACGCGGCTGGAAAATCAATGCCGATTGAACTTGACCCTACAATGGAATGGAATTTCCACGACCTCGACAATTCTCTTCGGCCATTCTTATGCCACGTGTTTTCAAACAAGCGTCGCGTCTGATTCTGTGTTCTAATTTTGGAGATTCTTTCATTTTAGAGCGAAAATTACCCAAACCGTTTCTATTTTATATTGCAGATGTCAACGACTGTTGGGACTCACTCAGGGGCTGGTCCCCTTAGCCTAATGTCCTGCGTTAGAGAGTCGTCCCCTTTGCAGGACTACGAACCTGAGGCGGAGAAGAACGGTAAGTTTCCACAAGTATTAACGGACGATGTAGTTTTCTGTTATCAAGAGTATCGAGTCAAAAGTGAATTATCGTCTGCGAAGTTTTTACAGGAGTTTATGCTTCATGAATTTCCGCATTTTCTGCATTAAACACAAAGATTCCGCAATGTGTACATGAAAGAGGCATGTCTGTGTGGTATGCGACTGGCCATCGCCGGTCGGTTCGGTTTTGTTTATTTATAGAGCTGGAAAACCGCCAATTTCGACTTACACGAATTTACAGATGCACTTTGTCGAATTTTATATCGCATCATATCTAAAACGAAATCGCCAGTACGGAACTGAAAACCGCATTCCTTTCAGGTTTGAACTTATTTTTCAAAACTTACTACGGTTGATTTATTTGGGTGAAATTCAATGTAAAATATTTTCGTTTTGCTGATACCTACTCTCCAAAACATAACGTGTTATGTGAGTAAACCGCTTTTAATTTGGAATATTTGGCACTTCGATATGGCACACACAAAGATTTACTGTTAAGCTTCCTCTTCGTCACATATTTAAGTGGATGATTGTCGCTGTTACAACCTTAAACTCTAAAGATTTTGATTCGTCTTCCAGCCCGACAAAGAACTCAAACACATGGTCGGAACAATAACCACCATACCAACCATAAGTAGGTAAGAAAGATTATGTCTCCTGATATGGAGAGACTCGTTAGGAATTCCTAAGTGCGGTTCAATTGATTTATATACAGGGATTCGTATAAGACAACACGACACTGATGTTTACTGGTCCGTAGTTTTAAGTTCATCAGTGTTTCAATTAGCCKTTTATTTAGTGTMTACTGTACTTAAGTTCGCGCCATGTAAGGAAACTTTATTTTATTAATTTGACTTTWTTATGAATTAAAACGATATTCTTCTATTCTTCGTAAAAARWTCTGTTTGGTCTAAAAYCCAAAATGTWACCATCAGATTTTTTTTCCAATCGTATTCGAGGAATATCAGGAAATATGAGCTGTTGGTTAAAATTGATATTTTTKAMCATCCTCGTATCCGACTGAAAAAAATTGATATCTGATGATTACATTTTRGATTTTAGAACATGCAGAACTAACGTAAMAATAATAAAACTTGATGTTCATCATAGGAAGGTGCTATGAGATATCTGAACGTTCTTTCCAACTCCAAGCAACTTTTCTTAATAGCARTTTTCGATATTGTCAAAATYAGAGGTACTTTATTCTTGAGCATAATTCATATTTTSTKATATACCTYGTATACAAGTGCAAAAAATAACATCTGATAGTGGCATTTTCGGTTTTGGACCCAGCAAACCGTTTTATGAAGAATACWTTTTTATCGTAAAATTAATAATAAGACGTAACACACATTCCATAATATACTAATAAAAGTAGATCTAGATCTTGAATTAGAGGATTTATTTATTAYCTCATTATCACAATTGATTCTTTTAAATCACGCCAATAAATGTAGGAACGCTGGAAGTTGGTGATAAAATRACTTACGGGCGCTTTGAGTTGCCTTGCATACATACAAATGCAGATCAATCCAAAAAAGATTAGTAAATGCGAACTGCGAAGTTCGGTTGGACTGTTTTTAAAAAACATGATTCCAAATCGATGAAAATGGTTTCGTCTGGCTTCGTTCCAAACGTTTGCGAAACATTAGCTCTCGCACTAACATTGCTTCAGGGCATTGGAAAGTAGTTTTGATAACTGGGGACAAATTTCGACCATTTCTATTGGCAATATTTGGGCAAAACTGTTGTCCGTTATAGTCCAAGAGCAATTTTGGAAAGCTTTCGCCGCCAACGCTTACCAATGATTCCATTATTAACTAAAACGCTTTTATTGTACAATACTCGTGACATTCTGAGTTCACTATGTGGTGAGTGAGAGAAAGCGCTTTTCAAAAATTAAACAAATTCAAATTCCTCATAGATGAACATGCCCACCTACGTTTTAAATCCCGTTATATCGATCGCGTAAGAGGTTGGTTGAGGAAGGCGGCCACCGCTCTTAAGTTGAATTACTGTTAATTGATATTCCAAATGCGACCGCATTCACTATGTCTTCGATAATCGTGCACGATACAACTGCGGTGCATGCTTTTCACTATCTTGGCTGATTTTTCTAATGGCCCCACAGGTAACTGGTAAGATAAACATTTTGCGACCGAACGCCAATATGCCTTCAAGTATTGGCTAATTCAATACTATTATTAATAATTAAAACGAACAGTGTGAACAAGAGTCTCAAAGCACTTGATGTATGTTTCCTATTATTAGTTGAGTCTACACCAATAGTGGTTAATTAGTCTCGTTCTTCTTTATGCGCGTTTCCCGTACTTTTGGTTTTTCTCTACGAGAACGCAGTCGGTCACGAAGTGCTTCGTAAATTCATCGTCTACGCCGCTAAACCTTTTAGTATTTATTACTTTCGAGATTAACTGGGTGTACTTAATTTTTAATTAAGATAGCTTTGTCTGTCCTCGCAGATGTTTTCAGTATATTCAATATAATCGATCGGATAAATCCACTCGTTAGCTATCCTACAGATAACAGTTTTGAACCTAATATGTACCTACTGAACAATTTGGGAGGAATTCACTCAGTACCCGGTCAGGTTTAGTTCAAAGTGTTTGTTGTGTTTTATTTGCTGAAAAAAATGGAATTTTGACCATGCCGCTGCTTCAGAGGGCCAGCACATGGGCTCCGGCCGATCAGAAGTCCCATCGCCACATTTTGGCCAGTAAGTTTTCAACGGGATGGGAAACTTTGTCTATTTTTCCCATTCTATTCGATCAATGCATGAGCAGTTAGGAATCGATTTAATTTATTAAACTTCCATCGATGAAGGGCTAGTGAGATCGGCTTTTAGTAAAAACTATGCCCTAATTTCATTGTTAAGCCAGGAAATGGCAACTGTGCCCATTGTGTTGTTGCGGTCGATTTTAAACCGGAAATATTGGCATCGGGTGATGACCGGGAAAATTTTTCAAGTTACAACAAAGTGCAAAACGTCGTTATATAAAACGTAAAATGTAGTTATTTTTATTCCGTGCTATCAGTCCTCGTCATTTGGGCGTAGCTTGCAAATGGCACGTTGATGGCACAAAAGCGCCTCTGAAGATGATAACCAGGCCAGCTAGCGAAACGTCAGGACCAAATTCCTATAAGTGTGATTAGATTTGGTTTTAGTTTTGACTTTTTTTGAATGAACGCATTTGAAAATCTGGCAACCAAATGAAGAAACGCGTAATTGCCGCCTTTGAGACATCAACATTAGCCACAATCTGTTAGAGTAGTTCGAATAGTTTTGGCACATCTGCTTTCATACACCTGAAACCGGTTTTACTTGCCGTATGAATGTTGAAAGCGTCTTCTATCAGTTCAAATCGGAAATTTGGCTGATCATTTAATATAGGAAAATTAAATTTATCTCTTAATTATGAGACGTAAATTAAAAAAACTTTGTTTCCCAATTATATGGAGCTATACAGTAAAATGAGTTAAAATTTCAAGTAATTACTTTGAAGTGGGTTAGTGTAGGCTCTATTATTCGATTCATCAGTTGTATTTACCACAAATCGAACGGACTACATAAACATTGTGTCATGTCTAAAAACTGTTGACCAGGCCTACCTATTCAAGCAATTAATTAACTAAGCTGTTGTTACCTTTGTCATTTGGCAATTTAGTTTCGTACGTTCGTACTTAGAAAGCGGTTTGGCCTGGCGAAAAATGCGGTTTTTTCACTCGCAGCAATGTGTATTTGTGGCAGAAAATATACCATTGGTAAGTGTATGGAATCAGTTCCTTTGGCCAATTGGCTAGTTGTTGGTTTCCTCTTGGACTCGATAAAAAGTGGGCAAAATTGCAACATGAGCTGTTATTAAAACGTTATGTAAAACCGTGTTGAACTAACAACGACTGACTGATCGAGATTTCAATTTTGCTTAATTCTGATCATGATTCATGAGCACGATCATGCTCCAATAAGCGCGCTCCATATTTTTATTATTTATTTCTCCGTCTGCGTAGCGGTTTGTTCGTAATTCCCCCAACACAGAAACAACACAATTCAGGGTTTTCTTGCGTTTAAAACAACACACTGTATGGGAAATTGCCCAGAGCGCCAGCACAACCATTCA